TGGATTTACAAAAAATGTTCCTGACGACAAAGTAATATGTATTTTGATAAATAATTTAAAGCTCCGAATTTATTCTAGTTTATCATTTTATTTTCTGTATTCAATTCCTACTAATTTTCACAATTTAGTTTAGGTTAAAAAATTTATAATCGCAGGAGAATGAGCGAAAAACTTGCTGAATCCTAGCAGAACTAAAATTTCTTATGAACACAAATTTATTTACTAATTTTATTTCACTTTTCATTCTTTATAATTTATTTTGAGTTCAGTTGTGAACACAACGCTATAATAGATATAAAGCTTTAGTTATTTATTTTATATAATCACAGTTAAACGTAGGCATTAGTTTCAAACATGTTTGTGTGGATAAGCAGAGTGCATGTTGGATGAGTGTATTTGTTTAGTTTGAGTTCTACAATACATATGTATATAAGAAAGTAATATTAATAACTTATAATTAAAAAATGGACAATGCTATTAGTGAATGTCACAACTCATCAGACCGCATTAAAGTACGTGTTTGGGACGAAGATAATGATTTAAAATCGAAACTTCGTCAAAAATTGACGCGTGAATCTGACGACTTTCTCGGACAAACCATAATAGAGGTTCGAACGTTATCGGGTGAAATGGATGTCTGGTATAATTTAGAAAAGCGTACTGATAAGTCGGCAGTGTCGGGAGCTATTCGTTTGCATATATCAGTTGAAATAAAAGGCGAAGAAAAAGTGGCACCGTACCATGTGCAATATACATGTCTACATGAAAATCTATTTCACTATCTATGTGAAGAAAATATAGGAATGGTAAGTGAACTTTCTAATAAATTTTTATTCTTACTTTGCAACGTAAAAATGCAGTCAATTTAAATTTATTTATGCAAGACATTAATGTGCTTTACATAGAGGCAATTAGATTAACTTTTGATTCAATATTCAAATAAATCTGAAAAGTGTTTTGAAGTTGTTGAATTCAAGTGAAACTGCAGACAAATAATATACAGATTGCTAATGCAGAACAAAAAAATGACTCCCATGATTTCATAGCAGCCAGCTCAAGTATCTACTAAAAGCACAAATGAGCTTTGGATTGTAGAACAATTAAGGTATACAAAAATTGCGTATAACACAAGGATCTTAAGTGTTCGAAACATAAAAAAATGGTTGAATGTACGTATAAGGGGGTGTGTGATATAGTATAGAAATTGTTGCTATATTTTCTATCCATATTGTTAGTTTGAATGCTTGTGTCATTTAAATGAAGACGATTTTCTGTTTTGAATTCTTAAGCTTCAGGAATTTTACTGCATCGAGACGAAAGGGCAATCTGTGAAGTGCAATTTTTTATTTTTATATTTACAAAATTTTGTTTTTTTTTGGATAATGAGGAAATAGAGAGAAAAAAGCGTTCGACGATAGTCAGAGACGAAAAAGAGTTGTTTGGTGTTGAGTGGGCGAACAAATCCCACTAACATTTTCTATTCTTCATTCTTATTGCACGCTTGCTACATGATTCCATTTACAAGGGTAGGTGAGGCAATATTAGGCCTTTTCGGTGGCTCGCAAGTACGGCAAAAAACAGCAAGTTGCTGGCCTATGCAGGCCTATACTGGCCGCAATGTACGCAAAACAACAACACTATTTTCTCTACTTCGGCCAGCATAGCTATGCTGGCCAACCACATCGGCCAGTAATAAAAAAAATGTTACCAAATCAATAAGCAAACTATTGTGAACCTTCATTGAAAATTCCAACGAATAGTGCAATCAAATGTCAAAAATTGAGGAAATAAAAATTCAAACAGAATTCAAAAATTTGAAAAATCTTGAAAAGTAACGAAAAAATAATAAGAATGTAGAAATCATAAGTATTAAGCACATTGAATTTTTTTATGTTAGTTATTACCAAGTAACATTTATTTTATTTCATTTAATTTGTAGTTTACATGCGTAAAAAATTTTTTTATAGAAATACACGTAAGTAAAACGTTGCTTTCTTCTCCCAACAATGACAGTACCTACAAAAATTTACTTATCTTAGTGTTTTATTTTTAAATTTCCAATATTCTTACCATTCCTTTTAATTCCTTGTTCATTTTAATTTTATAATATTTTTATAAAAATATATTTGATTTATATGCACATATACAAGATTTGCTGTTTGTCAAAACAAAACATTTGACAGATTGCAACAGTGATGCCAATGACTCGCGTGACCAACATAGGCCAACATGCATTTTTTGCCGTACTTGCGAGCCACCGAAAAGGCCTATTACTGAAGTTAATGCATAGTTTTTATTTTTGTATATATTTTTTGTAAAAGATATGATTGACTTTGTGTGCATGCAATGCACAAGTTCTTCCAAATTATTATAAATTTGATTTAGGATGAAATTTTTTACTAGTTTCATACATATATATGAGGTTTCTCTATAATGGGGTGCGTAAGCACTAGCAGTAGCGCAACCATAATTGTTGATAGTTTAAATGATATTAACATGTTCGGTAGTGAAAGCAATACTGTGCCCTATAGTACCAATGATATAATGATGTATATTAATTGACACTATGTTATTTAATATCTTATTATGTTTCATATTTTAATATATATAATTAAATAAACGTTCAAGTTTTTCTAACTATTAATTAAATAAATCATATAAAATTTAATTATTAACGAAATCTTATAGTAAACCTGCAATAAGAATGACTCAGCACCTGTTTTTCGTCTATGACTATCGTCAAACGCCTATTCCTTTCTATTTCCTCATTATCTAAAAAGAAACAAAATTTTGTCTCGACACAGCTAAATTGCTGAAGCATAAGAAGACAAAACAGAAAATCGTCTTCATATAAATGACACAAGCATTCAAACTAACAATATGGATAGAAAATATAGCAACAATTTCTATACTATATCACACACCCCCTTATACGTACATTCAACCATTTTTTTATGTTTCGAACACTTAAGATCCTTGTGTTATACGCAATTTTTGTATACCTTAATTGTTCTACAATCCAAAGCTCATATGTATGTGCTTTTAGTAGATACTTGAGCTGGCTGCTATGAAATCATGGGAGTCATTTTTTTGTTCTGCATTTGCAATCTCTATATTTTTGATCTGTGACTACACATACTAACCCTCTATTCTGTGGACCTGACAAATTTATCAAGTATTGACCATCAATTAAGATTTTAATCAAGCAAAAAGGTTTTTGCTATTTTGTGCAAATCGTAATAAATTTCAATGCTCAAGTACCTAATGCTTTTGACCACACTATGGTGAAAAATGTTTTATATACTAAAATTAAAAATAGAGTGTGGACTAGTTATTATGTTCATATTACGCCTTATTACTTTAATTTTTTTATTTCGTTATTTGCTACTTGAAACTATTTTTATATTTATACAATTCTTTAATAAATAATTATGAAATCATTAATAATGACATTTAGAATTTATTAAAATTACTTCATGAAATGAATTAAAATTTATTTTATAACTATTGTTATATTTTTATACTTTAATAAATAACTATATATTCAGTCAAATATGTTATTTAGAATTTTATTATACATACAAATAATAATTTTATACTAACAATTCAACAGCGTTTTAAATGTTAAGAGCATTTGTCAACTTGACAATTTATTAAGAAAAAAGCTTGTTTTGGGCAAAGAATATCAAAACCTTGACGATGGTGAATTTATCAAGTACACAGAATACGGGGTAAATGTTTATAAAGTTTTTAGCTTTTATTTTATTTGAATGTTTTTGTTATTTGATTAGGTTAGAAAGCATTGTTAGGTTAATGGTAGTATGACCACATTAAGAGTAAGAAGCGTTTTATGAAACAAAAATTATGTCGGGCATGAAAAATGTGTGTATAATGTGGTATTAACTTTTCATAAGTTAATAATAAGTAATAAGTTGTCGTTGTTATACTATATTCTTATGAGATATATACAAAAACTGTACACTGAGGTTACATCCTATAAGACAAAATATGCAAAATTATTAAATAAAGTTAAGATAAATTTGAAAGCAACACACACTTCTAAAATGTATGCTTATTAATATCAATTTTTCAAATTTTTGAGTCTTAACTTTTTTATAATATGGTTCAAAAATTTCAAGATTTCCTCTTCACTTTCATTGGATTTTTCACTTACATATGTATTCTTTATGAGCCAACTTATTTTGCCGCTTAACATTAAACAGTATTGTCCATTTAATTGCTTCTACCATTGCAAGCAAAATGTTTTATTTTTAAATTTTTCGAAATACATAAAATCTTCTCGTTTAAACTTAAAATATTTAAAAACTATCTTATTAAGTCAATGTACAAAATTTAAAACAATAAGAAAACTCATTTTTATGTCCTCACAGCCAGAGCATGAGCATGAACAACGCGTGAGCAATGCATGAGCATCAGCTGTTTATCATACTGATGCGCGTGAGCAAATTTATAACAAAATAACTTTTCTTGCTCATGGGTATCACCTTCTGTAATTGGATTCACTCATGTGCGCGTGGGATAGGTGAAGAAAACGACCTGCGTGCTATGATCAGAAATGACTTTTACATGGCGTAGGCAAATATAAATATGGTGTAAATATAACTAGACACATTAGAAAAAGGAAAAATTTATGTAATATTCTTGTTAAATAAAGTGCCTTATAAGATAAAGAAATTCTTAATATCTTGAAACACACGTTATTACCATATTTTTGTTCCAACACATAGTAAAGACCAAAAGTCTTTCTTCTAATATATGGATTTTATACGATCAGTTAAGTTTTTTGAAAGTTCTTTTAAGACTGTTTTTCTGTGCTGTTTTTTTTAAGTTAATATTCACTTAAATCAGATAGTATTTATGCCCTTTGTTAAAACTGGTGAAATGATAAATGTAGTTAGCTAGTGACAATACCATTGTTAATGTATTTTTATAGATATTCTTTTTATCACCAAAATAATTTTTATTTGTTCGTAAAATAGGTGAAATTACCACAACAAAAAGGGGATGATGCCTGGAAGCTTTATTTTGATGAAATACCGGAAGAAATAGTTGACGAGTTTGCAATGCGCTATGGAATTGAAAACATATATCAAGCAATGACACATTTTCATTGCTTGTCGGCAAAGTATTTGTGTCCAGGAGTACCAGCAGTTATGAGTACACTTCTAGCAAATATTAATGCGTATTATGCCCACACAACGGCATCTTCAGCGGTGTCTGCTAGTGACCGGTTTGCTGCAAGTAATTTTGGAGTAAGTTTGATTTTTTCAAAAAGCCTAACAAATTAATATGCATTCCGTAATAATATGATTCATATACCATCAAAAAATTTAAGTAAAATAATATTATCTACTACTTATCGCCTTAGTAACTTCAGTGTTATAACATAATTAAAAATAATTTATAATTATATATTTTGGTACATACATTTATGTACATAACTGATATACATATATATATCAGTTATTAAGAACTTCATATTGTTCAATTTTTTATAAAACTTCACCGGTGATTAATATACATACATATAAGCATATATATACATATGGTATATGATAGGCTTGAAAATGCAATTGGCAAGTACGCATAAAAATAAACATTTCAATATTTTTTAAGATACAGCGTTTCAGAGGAATCCTGACTACCTGATTAAGCTTTCAATAAGCTTAATCAATATCAAAAAATTGATATTCTTAAAATTTTTGTATCAATTTTGCTGAAAAAGTGATTTTTCTCAAAATATTCGCTTAATTTCTTTATGATAATATTTTGTACATTATTACCTTTTTATCTTTCAAAAATATGTTGCAAAAGTGGTTCTCTTCTATCAGGTGACTCAAAGTGTGACAAAACAAAAATAAGCCGATCTAAATTCGATATTTTCGGAACCAGTAGAGATATTGATATGAAATTCTCCTAAAATATAGTTTTTGAGATGACCTTTTAAATCTAATTGGAGCCCAATCGGTCTACCGGAACCTCCCGAAATTTTTGCCCAAACATGGGGCATTTAATATGATTCGAATAATAGCCTTGTTGTTGATGATTGTTTTAGTGAATTAATTCCATGTGTTTGTTCAGTTTACCAGAACTAACCAGATTCTTTTCTTGTTTGAGAGGTGTGGTCATTTTGAATAAGTTATTTATAAATTTACCAAGAAAAATTTCTCATAATAGCAGTTGTTTTCTATTAGTTTGCTTCAACTTTTTTGTCCGGTAATATAATACCTCGGAATTGAACCTTATTTGCATAAAACATGCATTTTTCATACTGTTTTTAAACTTTTCTATGAATGTTTTTTGTTCTAGGCTGGTAACTTGTTAATAAATGTTATGTTCTTTTTTTTACTGCCCTTATATTGACGCGTTTTGAATTAGTGTTTGTTTGAACATATCCAAACAGTTCTCAAAATGAGCGACACATTGTTGTTTTAGGTCAATTATCAGGAAAACATATAATAACTACATATATACCAATGATAAAGAAAAGACAGCAAGTAGACTGAAGAAGAAGACTTCCTGTTGACATATTTCATAATAATGTAATCGCAGTTGTAAGTGGTCATTTAATGATTTAATATATACTATTATTAATTAAATTGTTAATTTATTATAAAGTATCTTAAGTGATCACTTAATTAAATGAAACCCATTTACCAATTTATAAAATGTATTAAGGACGTGTGCGAGTTAGGCTAAGTTGATGCTAAACCAAATGGGAGATTTTTTAGGATTTTTTGCACTGCACACATTTAGCCATTTATCAACACGTATCGACACATCACTACATTATCGGCACAACTTAGTATTTCCCTCATTTAGAACGCAACTTATCCTAACTCGCACACGACCTAAGTATCCAACTATAATTGTGATTAGAAATATAAATATATATTATATATGTAAACAATTTTAAATAGTACCCATATATCTTTCAATACTAATTCGATTGTATCAAACGATCCCTGTAGTAACTTCGCTAGTTACACATAAATACAGTTCTATATTATTTCGTATCACTTTATTATTTCATTACAATACAACACACACTAATTGTTAATCTTCCACCCAACGCTATCTTGCCGCCCTTTTCTCTCTGACAGCTGCTCTTCTTCCGTGTTGTACAACGTACGTTTACTACCAGTGTTGTACTACGTCCGTTTACTACAGTCCTCCCCTTTTAATATTGTTGGTAGTCTTGATGCCAACGTGGCGCAAGCCCCTTTGTAGCCCTTTGAGATCGTCTTAACTCTTTGTAACGTGTTATAGTCGACATTTCCTGATTGCTATTAACATCATCATTGGAATTAGTCTGTTGCTCGATAGCAGGGGATAGAATCTCTTCCGGTACATAAGTTCGATTTGGAACAATGAATGGTTCAACTGTATGCGTGAATTCTGGAACTTCAAACAGTTCATTTAGTACGTTTTTTGTATAACGATACTTCAGCTGGTTTACATGTGCTTTAATAACGCGCTCATTACTTTCCTGGTCAATTTTGACTTCATAATTGACTACTCCAAGTTTTTTTATGATTACAGCAGGTATCCAAGTCCATTTATTGTTATTGGAATGAAGTTTATAGTAAACGTTATCTACAATGCTGAACTGCTTTAATTTTGTCTCTTGCTGATTACTTTGTTTTTCTAATTCGCCTTCCGGTTTTTGCTGTTTAATGCAGTCAAGACGAATTTTCATTTTTCTGCCATTTAGGAGCTCAGATGGTGATTTCATACCGAGATTGTAGGATGGTGTGTATCGATAACAAGTGAGGAATTCGTTGAGCTTTCTGTCGATACTTCCCTTTGCCTTCTTAAGTCCTGATTTGAGTAGGTCAACGAACCGTTCTGCTTGGCCATTTGATTGTGGACTGTATGGAGCTGTAGATATGTGATTAATTCCTTGGAAATCGCAAAAATTTTTGAATTCCTGCGAGATGAATTGCGGAGCATTATCACTAACAATCGTGTCACAAAGGCCGTGTTGCGCAAAAGCTTTCTCAATGAACTCAATAGTTTTAGCTGCTGTAGTAGTTGAAGTTTTGAATATTTCTGGCCATTTACTGAAAGCGTCTATGATAACAAGGAAGTAATTGCCATCGATTGGACCAGCGTAGTCAATATGAATTCGTTTCCATGGTGCAGAAGGAATTTTCCACTGTTGAGGAGTACATTTCATTGGACTTTTTGAGGCTGTAGCGCATGTGTCACAAGTTTTGACCACATGTTCGATATCAAGATTAATGTTTGGCCAAAAAACTTCTTAGCAGCAAAAAGTTTCATACGACACTCACCTGGATGTCCATTATGGAGATCTTCAAGGACTTGCTGGTGGTAAATTTTGGGAATAACAATTCTCTCACCAAAGAAAATACTCTGTTGTTGGATCGTAAGATGATGTCGATGCTGGAAAAATGCCGCTACTTCATTATCTGTGATTTGTTTTCTCTTTTGAGGCCAGCAGTCATTTTGAATGTAGAACGTGACCTTATTGAGAGTATGGCAGGCTTTGGTTGCTGTTTGAATATTAGTGAAAGTGATTGGAAGTTTGGTGGCTGTTTCTACCGCAAAACAATTGATTTTCAGGTCCTCGTCTTCTTCTAATTGTATAGATGCTATGACGGTATCTTCATCAGGTTTTACATGGTTTGCGATTAGTCGAGAAATAATATCGGCATATCCAAAGCTGTCAGTATTTATGTATTCAATAGAGAAGTCGTATGACAGAATAGTGGTTGCATAACGTTGCAGGTGAGCTGCTGTAAACAACGGGATGCCATTTTTCGGGTTGAATATAGCAAGAAGTGGCTTGTGGTCGATATGAATGGTAAAGCGACGACCAGAAATGTAATAGTGACATTTTTTTAATCCAAACACGAGAGCTCGAGCTTCCTTGTGCATTTGAGGATACTTCCGCTCCGCTGCATTGAATGTAGCTGAGTAGTGCATAATTGGGTGAAGCGTTCCGTCATTAAATTGATGCATGAGAACTGCACCCATACCGTATTCTGAAGCATCAGTAGCTAAAATTATTTTCTTTGCTGGATCGAAGTGCGTGAGACATAGATCAGAAGCTAAAACATTTTTAATCTTGTTGAATGCTTCATTATGATGTTGTTTCCACTCAAACTTCTTATCTTTTTTTAAAAGTTCATCTAAAGGACCGCGAAGGCTTTTCATACTTTTAATGAATTTCCCATAATAATTTACAGCTCCTAAAAATGCTCGTGTTTGTTGCAAATTTGTTGGTGGTGGGAGATCTTGGATTGATCGAAGTTTCCCTGGATGTGGTCTGATACCATATTGATCTACCGTGTGTCCGCAGAACTCGACAGATGTTTCTCCAAACTTACATTTCTCGAAGCGAAGTTTGAATCCATAATCCTGAATACGCTCTAAGGTTTTAAACAGTTGAATTTTGTGGTCTTCTTCATTAATTCCCGAACAGATCATATCATCAATAAACCCAATGATATTGGTTCCGCTAAGCATTGTGTCAACAATCTGTTGAAAAATGCCAGGGGCTGTTTTAACACCTTGCTGCAGTCTAAGTACTTTAAATAAGCCGAGGTGAGTATTGATAGCCATCAGTTTTTGAGATTCTTGGTCCACTGGAATCTGGAAAAATGCATCTGATAGGTCAATTGTGCTAAAGACTTTCTTATTAGCGAGTTTGGAGAATATTTGGTCAAGCGTTGGAAGAGGATATTTATTTGGCTCTAGACCGTCATTTAGACCTGTAGAATAATCGGCACATATACGAATTTTTCCATTCTTCTTTCTTACAACTACGATTGGCGCCGCTGACTGTGAGTATTCAATTGGTGAAATTACTCCAAGATGTTGAAGACGTTCAAGTTCTGCCGAAACTATGGGAGCTGCTGCATATGGAACTGGTCGAGCGTTACGATAAACGGGTCGCGCTCCTTCTTTTAGCCTCAGAGTCGCTTGGGTCTTCGTACAGCAGCCAAGGTCATTAGAAAAGAGAGACGGAAATCTAGCCTTTATTTCATCGTTTAACTTATCGCAACTAGTTAGTTGGATTGCTTTGCAAAAGGAACTGATAGGCACTGACCATAAGTCAAATGTCGTTATCCAATCAATTCCAAACACGTTCAACTTAAGTGGTGTGACATAACACACATCATATTCCTCTCTTCCATTTAGGTTCACAACACAAGCAAAGCTGCCAAGAAGAGGAATTACATTTCCAGAAACATCGCCAGCTTTTTTATTAGTAGTTTGTAGGGTT